GTGTGTGTGTGTGTGTGTATATATATATATATTCTAAGTGTGTATAATTTTATTCATGACACCATTTTTGCAGTATGCAGTTGTTACATACAGACTCAAACTGGTCATTATCTGTATCTCTCATACTATAATTTCAGATTCTTCTAAAGTTTTTATCTATCATGTTCACTCCTGAACACCAAAATCTAAAAAAAAAACCTTTTGTTACCCATTGAGTAATTACTAAATACTTTGTAAATACTAAATTGAATGAAAGAACGGTGTTAGTAAATATATATATATATATATATATATATATATATATATATATATATCAGAAAACTGATTTGGGTTCAAAGTCTAGTTTTAAAACCCACCCATCTAGTTAAATTACACTAAACTCTAAACTTTGTTTTGTTTTCCATCTTAATTGAAGTTAATACATTGACATTTAAAATATATATATTTATTTGAGAGAGGCAGAGACCGAGTGAGCGAGAGGGAATGAGTGAGAGAGCAAAGAAGACTCCCCACCCTATCAGGAAGCCTGACATGGGGATCCCATCCTGTGACTCAAGAATCATGACCCAAGCTGAAGGCAGACATCTAACCTAATGGAGAGAGCTACCCAGGCATCTCAATACATTGGCATTTTTAATGAAAAAATAGCATATAAAGAAAATGCTATGGAAATATGTAAAGAAATGCTTTACATATTTATTTATGTTTTGTGTTTGACAAAGCTGGTCTTCAAACAGGTCCTTATCTATGAAATTATTTTGAGGCTGCTTGATATATATGTGCTAGGCAGCCTGGTCCTCCCAACTCCTCCTCCTGAACACTCCATGGCTTATGCACACTCACAGTACCCCAATTCATTACCTCCTTTCTACATCTACTCTTGTTGGCCCTATCACCATTCACCTGTTCCTTCTACCTGGTCCAGATGCTTCTCCATTCAGCATCTTCCCTCCTCAAAAATACTACCCACATTGATCTTTCCTGGTTTTCAGAAACAATTGCAATTATACATGGTGTCATACTGTTCGATATTCAGTTTTGTTGTTTAATATAATGTTCTATATCACATGCATAGATCCCTTCTGAGGAGAGAGAAGTCCTTGAGGAGAGAGATGGGTTCTCTCTCATTCTTTTTACTGTGCCACAAACTTGCCATCTCTCCACAAAGATAAGCAGATGCTTGACAGAACTCTAAATACAGCTTATTTTTCTTAACACAGCAATTTCTGATCTCTGCAGCTTTCATATGCCCCCTCTCAGTAAAGGAATTGAACCATTTTCATTAGATAGATTACTGAAGAATAAGCAAGGAATATTTCCTGATCCCAGACCTACATTCAAAGAGTCAGGCTGTGGAAAGCAGGGTTTCAAGGCTTCAAACTGAGTATTAAGCTCCAATTAGACTGTCCCTGCTAAATGGTTTGTCATGGTCTATCTTCAGGATAAAATAGTTTGTGGTCTGCGACTGATATAAAACTTTCCTAAACCAGCTCCCAGATCCTTGGAACTCACTCCATTCATAGCACCATTTTTACTTTGTACGAGTGGTCATGGTTTTGCAAAAACAAAAAAGCAGAAATTCTTGCCTTCTACTCCCTAGTGTGACAGCAGAAGACATAATAGAGATGAAGACCATGCAAGTTCTGAGACCTAATGTAGTCTGGGAATTTAAAAAGAAGGCTTTAGAATCATCTGGATGGACTCTGGACAAAATTATGCTTCTAATAAGAAAACATTGCCTTTCAGTGGTTTTGAGCATCATTTCCTTGTCCTTATTTTTCCTCACATTCTTCCTAAGTTCTGGCTGTTACTGGCTTGTCCGGTACCTGGAGCTCGTCACTCCATTTCCAAAGAGCTATCATTTTGCTTCTTCCTGCTCCAATACAATGTAATTGCTTATGTTCTATCCTCTGAAGAGCATGGTAAGATCCTGAAGCTGATATTAAAAAATTTAAGAAAAACAGCAATGACTTGGAGCCCCAAGTATAATGTAGTGTGATTTCAAATCAGACATACTGGACATGTTCTCATAGCCCTAACTAGCTGTGTGACCTTGAGCAAGTCACAGAATGTATTAAAGCTTCAGATGACCCATCGGTAAATAGGTATCATAAAGGAGCCTACTTGGTGGCCTTGCAGTGAGGATGAAATGAAATTATGTGTGATAAGCGCCTGGTATGGAACCTTGCAATACTAAATGCATCATGAATATCAGTATCAAAATGGATATTGTTCTTAGAGAAAATACAACTTTAAACAGAGCCCTTCAATATTTTTGTTTAAAGACCTCATTAATAACAAAGGACATGAGGCATCAAAACTTGTTTCTTTTTCTTGGTATAAAGGGACTTGGATTCACCAAAATGCATTCAGGATGCAGCCACCTACTCTACCAAACAAGCATGACAAGAAACAGCTGTTATCATCAGTGCTTTCCTTTCAATCACTTTTAATGAGGGGGAAGAAGAGCCTCCAAGTAAAAACCCTAATTTCTCTGCCTCATAGCCCTGAACAGAAGCACCAGCATGATTTCCTTTAGAACCTTCCAGACTTTAACATTATTATTCTAGGATTCTTCACAAAATTCTTCTGAGCTAGAGATGATGCAGGTGTCAGCATCTTTGTTTTTACATTAAAGAAAATAAATAAAATGGAGACCTAACAGTTGAAGATTCATATAAGAAAAAGAGTACATGTGATCAGGGTTTTAGTCTTAAATTTGTCACTAATAACAGCATTATTTTACTAAAATTAACTTCTACCAGTATATTTACTTCTCAAATATTCTCATCTATCAACTGCTTGCCTTACAACTACACAGGGCAGTTATAGGATTAAAATAAAGTGTGAATGGAAAGTATTTTGAAAAAGAACAACTACTCTACAATTATAGGAACAATTATTCCCATCACAAACACCACAGCCAGAAGCCAAATTTGCATATCAACACTTCATTATTGGAGACGTTGGTACACGAGCAATTTTAAAAAAGATTGTAATTTGAGTTTTCATGGTTTTTGCACTTTCTGTGACTATCTTGTTTACTTGCTTTTCTCTAAAAGGAAAAGTCTGTCAAATCTGCTAAATTACTCAGTTTACTGTCATTTTTCATATTTGTTTCAGTGATGTTTGTAAGTCATACCACTGCTAATCTGCAATTACCCAGGCTGAGACAGGGGTCCCATTGAACACCTTTGAGCCTGAGGAAGCAGAAGCAGAGCAGAATGGTGAGGGGAAAGCAAGTGTCAGCCAGTGTTGGAATGATGGAGAGCAATCATTCTATAGACAATCTGATTAACTTTTGCCCGAAAAAGGTTCCCTCATGTTCTCAAATCCACTAGCTTACAAGAGCCACTTGTAGCTCTCTTGACTGGCATTCAATTAAAGGTTAATGTTCTCTAGGAATTCTGAGAAGTGCAGTAAAGGTGGTCATATAATCACCAATGGTATACTTCCATTTCTCAGGGTGCTCCCTCATGTCACTTCCCAGAGGTCCTTAAAAAAAAAAAAAGAAAGTAGAATATCCCCACTTTTAAGAGGAGTACCTGAGAGGTTCACCATTAGACCTATACTTACTTCTCTTTTTCCTTTATGACAAATATCACAGAATAGATTCATATTTAGCTGGTGAGACAAACTTGAATTCCTATCTAACCATATTATTCTAAACATTGCTTTGGAGAAAGAGAAACAACAAAGAATGTAGAAAAACGAGTGCAGAGGAGACATATTATAGCTCCTAAAAAACAGCTGCCACTTTAAGATGCTTAGATTTTCAAGTAAAATATAGAAAAACATGCAACTACAAAAATGTACTGCACTAAATCATAGAATTGTTTCTGTATTAAACATAGATTTATAAGCATTGACTCTATGAGATATTTTCACTGTAAGTAAACATAAAATGCATTGGATACAAAAGTCCAAATATATATAAGATTTAAAATAGAAAAAAATTGTTTTAGTAAAGATTCTTACCTTACCAAAAGGCTTTATTAGGAGGCTACTTTAAGTCTAAAAAACATTAACTGGAAACATACAAACTATTCAAATCCAGTTCAAATTTAAAGTCAATGCAAGTAAAGATAAAGTATCTAAAATTAGAACTAAACCATTCAATTTAGAGAATTTGATTTACAAAAATTTGATTTGCATGCAACTTCTTAGCAATTTGATTTTGTACAAAGTAAGTCATGGCAATAGAATTGTGAGATGATTTGTCTGCTCCCTGAACTAGGTTTTGGTCATTTAATCTCTTTAGGAGTACTAAGGACAACTGAAGTATTGTTACCCTGCAGAGATGAGGCCATCTCAGCTTGCCCATTAGGCTCTGATAATGTCTGATCAGAGAAGAATAAACCATAATGAACTACGTGAAATCTGGTAATGGATCACAATCCATGGTTCCTATATTATCAGAAACTAGCCATGGTTTCTGCGTTATCAATTTTGTTGGGAGAAACGAACTGAGATCACAATGAGATCTCAAGCTACAGGGGAAGCTTGAAGCAGATTGATGTTATATGGAAGCCATTTAACCCACAATCTGACAAGTGGGGCTTGTTTTAATTCTGGAGGGTGGAAAGGGTCCTGTGAACTCTAATGGTTAGTTTGGTCTTTACATGGTAGCTGGATCCCAAGAGCAAGCATTTTAAGTGGCAAATGACGAAGCTACAGAACTCTTACAGCTCAAACTCTGAAAGTGTATAGCATCACCTCTACTAAAGTCTACTACCCAAAACAAATGGCAAAGCCAGCCCAGATCCAAGGAGATGGGAGAAACAGATTATGCCTCTGGTTGAAGTGGTGAGGATGCTGTAAAGTAGCATGTGGGATGAGATATTTTGTCGCAACCTACCACAGGATTTCGAAGATTTCTTAGAAAAATCACAGCATCATTTATTTCTCATAATTCTCAGTATGAACCTTGGTAAGCAGTCATACTTTACCAAGTACTATATACCCTTGGAGTTAGGAACAAACAAAAATTTGGCACTCACCTGGCGGAATTGTTCTAGGTCGATTTTGTTACCCACCAGCACCAGGGGAATTTCGTAGGTGTGGCGGACTTGAAAAATGAGCTCTTTAAACTTGGCAGCTTCCTGGAATGATTGGCGGTCAGTGACAGAGTAGCAGATGATGAATCCCTCCCCACCTCGCATGTACTGCTCCCGCATGGCTGTGAACTCTGCCTGCCGGAAAAGAGCAAAACTGTTATGTAATTTAAAACAATGAAGCCAACCCATCAATAAAATAAAAGGTAAAAAGTAGATAAATTATGAGACGAAGTAGTTGGGTGGAAATTTTGTAGAAGTTTATTTCTGGGTTTTGGATGTAGAAAAGTATGAGGTCTAAATGTACAATTATGAAATCTGAATGCTTTAAAGTGTGCTGAGTGTTGATCTTTAATCATAGAAAATTTGATTCAAGAGATCTTGGGAGAGATGTGTTAAATAGTAGGTTAACTAATGAACTCTTAGGGATTAGATATATCCTTTTCTACTTAATGGTCTAGTTTTAAGAAAGAGAATCTAAATTTGTTTACTTTAAAACCTAGAGGAACTAATTTTCTCCTCAAAAAGATGAAAAGAAACACAAGTTTAACCTTGATTATCCCTGTGAACCGAGGAAGTTATAAATATAGATAATCCCAGACCCAGTTATGTGCTTGGGTTTTCTTAGATTTGTCTCCCTAAGGAGTGTAAACAGAGGGCACTTGATGGTTAGTTAAGTCATGGGGCACTTTCCACCTTGTGTTCACTCTTATATCCTTTTCTCTCTCTGTAGAGGACAGGATCACCTTCCAAGTATACCTATGTCCCAACCTGGGAGATAATGCTGTATCAGTTTTCACATTGCAGCCCACCTGAACTACAATTTCCTGGCAACTCAGAATTTAGGATTTGGTCTGAGATTCAAGCCAAAATATTTCTTTTAGTCTGAAATAGCTGTTTTCATTCACTGCTACTCTGCTGAATCTATTGTTAAAATCACAAGGGCTAGTTAGATACAAGCAATGGGAAATATAAAACTTAAGACTATCTGTGGAACAAGCCATGTTAAACAAAAGAACACAAGAACACATTGTGAATTGGAAATAAAGTCATTGAAGAAAGAAAGATTCGCATGAGTTTGAGCTGTATTTGAAAATTTGAGGAGGTGTGAATTCTTCACCCCCCCAAGCTATTTATAAGAATTACTAAAATGCCTTCCTCAGAGTAATTGTTGAAACAAATGTTAATTTAACATGGCTTCATTTTTGAGAGGTAGGAGCATTTGCATAGATCCAGAAATTTTGCAAAACTGAGGTGCTTACAAGTGGAGAGAGGATGAATTAGTTGGCAAATCTTTCAACACATCTTCAGTTAAAGTGGAATGGATGTAAACAGTATACTAGGTTTAACCAATCATTTTAAAGCTTTATGGATTTGAACATGAATGCAGAAAGGAAAAAAAAAAAAGAAAGAAAGTCTTTTCCAAGGGTTAACAGTCAGCTAATATCAAGTTGGTTTGAATAATTTATCTTATCTCATTCACACTAAATCAGTTTACTTAGTACTAAAGTTTACCTCAGTCCCACATTTCATCATGTGAGTGTCATGTACTAACAGGGGAGAAAGAAATCCTACAGGGCCTCAGTTTCTTCATCTCTAAGACAAAGTTGGCTGATAAAATTTCTGACATCCCTCCCATGTCTGGCATTCTCTAATTCTGAAAACCATTTGCTTCAGTAAGAATCCCGATGTGGACTAACTAGAGCAGTATGGACTAAAATCGATAAATGAGTTTTCTCTGACATGTAATTATGTTTTTCAAATAGAAATGGTAGAATAATTGCAGAAAAATATGTGATACTCAGAAAACATAAATGGATGACATCCGTGTATATGATCAAAACCATAAAAGTGCAAACTAAACTGGAGAAAATTTACGATTTACAGTTCTACGTATTTGCCAATTACTGTCTTAAGCATCAAAATTATTTGTCTATTGTATATTGAAAAATAATATACACATCACAAAATATCCAAAAGGTACAGAAGTATATAAAATTTAATTTCCTTATCTCCAACCCCAATTTTCTTTTCCAAATGCATGACAGTTAATAATTTCTTTACCCTTACAGAAATAGTCTATGGGCATACAAGCAATATTCCACCTTTACACACTTTTTAGACTCAAATGGGCACATAATATATACAGTTTTAACTTTTAACCCTAAGATTTAATATCCTTAATATACCTGGAAGATCATTTCACATAAACACAAGTATTATTTGCCATGAATGTACAATTCCTTTAAAGTATGTAGCATAATTTATGTAACTAGTTGCCAATGGATATTTAAAGGTCTTCCTTTTATTTCTCTAGTCGACTATGCTGCAATATAGATTCTTATGGAACTGCATTGCACAGATGTATATCTGAGAAGTAGTATTGCTACATGAGAGAGAACACACATTTTTACTTTTGAGAAATAGTGCCAATCTCACCAAAGATACCATACCAACACTCTTTCCAACGTTGTATAAAAGTACCTGTTTCTTCTCATTCTCACCTATGCCACTTATCAAATTTTTCTACCTTTTATAAGTTTTTGAGTAAAAAATAGAATCTTGTTTCTTTTGTCTGTATTTATAGGAGTCATACTGAACATCTCCTATGTTTCTTATCCAATGACAAATTCTCTCTGGACATGGTTTTATTTTTAAAAATGAAATGTTTTTTATTCTTTGATTTGGGGATTTAAAAAATTTCTGAGAAAGTTCTTTCTATGTGAGACATAAGAAAAAAATACATTTGAAAAAATTAACAATAACTACATCATAGGGAAAATACTAATAAATTTGAAGAAGTCTAACACCTATTAGGAAGCCGGGCAAAGTACAGGAAAGTAAAATTCACAGAAAACAATATTGGATGAATGAATGAGTGAATATCTAACTGTGCAAAAGTATAAATATAGAAGTATTTCTCAAATATTGCTTAATCATAAAATTAAGGTTTGGTTGTGTTTTTTTCCTCCAAATAGGAGAATCTTTCTACCAATAAAACAGATATAATTAAGCTATCCCAATGAAAGGGGAGGATACTTCCTCTTAGCTGACCTTATCTATACTAACTCTTTTCATAGCATATATATGTTTTTCTTAAAGATGCACCAGAGGCTGGTGTGGCAAAGAAGTTGAGCAGAATCTCTGCAGCTATTATCAACTTAATAATATATGATACTGAAATCATTTTATAAGAAAAATGCTATCTTCAACATGTTGCTTCCATCTCTCTACACCCATGAATTAAAGATCTCTGTGCTTTATGTTCGGTGTATCCTGAATGTTAATATCTTCTTCATTTGCTTCTTGCTATAAATGAAACTTGTTGGTTAATTATTCAGGAACATGACTAGGTTCCATTTGCTATCCATAAGTAGTAAAATATCTATGAAAGAGATCTACTGTGCAAAATGATACAAGCATAACCATTTTTTAATATTTCTTTTCTCTTTTTTTTAAAGAGGGAGGGAGGGAGGGGCCAGGGGCTGAGGGAGAGGGAGAGAGAACTCTAAGGAGGCTCCACACCCAGCACAGAGCCTGATGTGGGGCTCGATCTCACAACCTCAGCTAAGATCATGACCTGAGCCAAAATTAAGAGTTAGACACTTAACTGACTGAGCCATCCAGGCACTCTTTCTCTAATATTTTCCAAGCTATTTTGGGTACAGTGCTGTGGCTTTATCAGTTCCCTTTGATAGATTTTCTTGTATTAAAATAGGGTGAGAATACTCTATTTTAAAAGATATTTTAAGAAGTTTATTCATGAGAGACACACAGAGAGAGACAGAGACATTGGCATAGGGAGAAGCAGGCTTCTTGCAGGGAGCTCGATGTGGGAGTCAGTCCCCAGACCTGGGATCATCCCCTGAGCTGAAGGCAGATGCTCAACTGCTGAGCCACTAAAGCATCCCACGGTGAGAATACTCTTAATTCTGAACACAAAGTATTTTGATTAATCTCAGTTTCTTGACTATCAGAGTATTTTAAGCAGGCTATCAGAAATGTAGGGACTGGACCAGCTGCCCATTGCATTCAACCAGTGCTACTCGATGTATAGATGTCATGCTATTTACAAAATGCACTAGCACTATGGTCAGGCCAACTCTCAAATGCTTTCTAGCACAACACACACAGATATACCATTGTCTCTACTGGTTACCATATTCATGATAGCCACATCTCCATACCAAACTTATGTTCCTAGTACACCAAAAGTAAATGAAAAAATAAGTCATTCATGCAGTTGACACAATGCCAAGTGGTCAGATATATAAGTTAACAAAAAAGTCTGGCCTTGTCCCAATTGGGCAAACTTAAATAGGCCAGGAGAAAAGATATGAAGAGCAAGGAAATACTACCTGAACCAAGGATTTAGAGAAATGCAAGAGCAGTTTGCAGGAGGGCAAAGAACACTTGGTGGAAGAAATAAGATGTGTTATTTTTTCTTAAACTTGTCAACTGCAAAGGGCTCCTCAACTTTCATGCAATCCTACTTCCAAAGATTATGTATTGTTACCCTTAAATAACCTTTCATGAGCCAAATTCAGCATCAGCATGGCACTTACACCTGCATATCAGTTCACAATTCAGTTTTTGAAGGCTGTCAGAGGAGCAAAATGGTTCTTGTTGCTTTTGTTTGCATGTTTTTTAAAAAGGAAAAAAATTAAAACATTATAAAAGTGATGAAAGTGTAGGTATCATAAATTTTCTGTAATTGATACAAAGTATCAAGATTGAAATCAACAATAGGGTGGTTCTTCAGTCTCAAATGGATGCCTTATAGTAGTTGAGGATGTTCAATTAAAATGAAAATGAACAAAGAGCCTTTATAAATGCTGCTAACAAATGGTCAAAGATGGTATCTAAAAGGCCAAATATAATTAATGAGTTTATACTATTTGTAGTTTTCAGAGAACATAACCATGTGCATTATACATTTCTCTGTCATTGTCTTTCAATATTTGACACTCATGGGTTTTCAGGAATGCATTAAACCATGGAATACTACCTAAACTCATTCCTCAAATATTAAGCGCTCGCTTATGTGTGACAGACATGTCAGATTTGAGATGGCTTAATATGTATAATGAAACAAAAATATGAGTAAATATGGAAAAGAACAAACAGAAATTAGAACA